CAAAAAAAAAAAAAAAAAAAGGGCAGGTGCAGGGATAAAGATGGACTTGGCATAGCAATAAATGGATTTTTCTAATCAAATAGGAAGGCCTTGTAGAAACCTTAGCTTCTTCTGTAACAGGCTGGGCTTTTTTTTTTTTTTCCCCTAGTTTTACTATAAGGCACTTGCACTTGCTGTAGAGAGAATGAGAGAGAAGAATAGTGAAAAAGCACATCCCCACCAGAGGGTATAGTCAACACTGCAATCCCTTTCCCTTGGGATTGTGGGTGCACATGTGGCCAGTGTGTTTTTGAAGCTGCCAGATCCAGGACTCGAACTGTGCAGTCAGCTATGTAGGATTCAGCCGCCCTAACCTCAACATCACCTGCTGACCCTAGGATGGGCGTTTGTCCTGTAGGTTCTAAGTGTCTGTGAGCTTGGTAGGCTCTCGGGCCTCCTGGGTATCACTGTGGCTTATTTTCTTAGTCTCATTCACAATGATCATTTTTGTTACAAACCATCTCAGCTCTTGTGCATCGGTAACTTTCTTCTCAAAAGGCTTTCCTATTTGGTGATGGGGTAAAAATGAGCCAATGAAGTAGGAAGCCCTTCTGGCCTAATGTTGATTTAATTTCATCAGTGAGTTAGGCCGTGGGGAAGCAGGAAGACCAGGACCCTGTGGCAGCCCACCAGGGAAGCATAGACACGAGTGAGCTCACCATCCTAAGTAGTCTGTGCTCGATCTTCCTCTCTGCAGTGGCCAGGTTTCTGTGGACCACTGAGGACTCCAGTGGTGCAGTTGTCTGACCAATGTCATCCGTTTAGGGGAAAAGTTTCCAAGGGAAAGTTGCTGATACGAGTTCTTCCTCTGCTGGGTACTGTCCTGGGTGCCTTAACATATTCTTGTTGATGCCCTACAACGGTCTTGTGAGGTCGGGGTACCCTTCCTGTCTCTGTGTTTGTGGAAGGTGGAAGCTAAGTTTACACCATGTGGCCTGTTGGTGGTGGTGCTGGCTTTGGAACCCAGACCTGATAGATTCCGAAGTCTCATTACCTCTCCCTTCCCCATTGCTCAGCACAGCCCCATCACACACGCACGTGCACACACACACGCGCTCTGACAGTTCAGTGCGTGTGCTCCCAGTATGGTACTAGCTGTGTCTCAGAATAGCATCTCGTGTAAGCACAGTGATGCGAGAAGCTGCAGAGGCATCATGCTCCGGGAGACGTGGCTCCCTGCTCCCAGGATGTCAGGCCTCGGGCAGACAGCTGGCACACGATGTTGTCGAGATGGCATTTTAAACTGTGACGTCGGGCTTCGTTATTCTCCACTTCCCTTCCTCTTCGATAGATCCCTGCTTCCCCTGCTCCCAGCATGCCAAGTGGTTGTTTGCAGTTCTCATGGGGCTGATGTGACCTTGGGTAACAAGATCTCGTTATTCGAGCAGGGCCACATGCCCAGATGTCCCATGTGCACTGCATGATTCTTCCTGACCTTGCGGGACCTGCAGAGGAGCACGGCCAGCCCATTTCAGGGTTCAGGCTTCTGTGGAGGAGGTTTGAGCCCATGGAGCAAAGCCTCTGGTAATGAAGTCATTTGTCCTTGGGAACAGAACGCTCCTCTGTGAGATGAGAAACAATGGGCATGTTGAGTTCCAGACCTAGGGTGACTTGAAACTGAGGCAGAGGCACATGTGATGAATTGGGACAATTCAAGGGACGCATTCTTCATAGTTGACAGTTGTCAACCAGTCGACTCAGTTGTGATATAGAGAGTTCACGGCCATTGAAGCCTCTGTTTTGAATAATTTCCCCTAGTGAGTAAGTCATGAACTCTTCGAGGGTTTTTTTTTTTTAATTCTTTTCATTGTAATTAGCCTAAATTATTTTGTTTAAAAATTCACCCTGTGAAAAAGTTGAAAAATGGGTTTGAGTAACAGTGTTTTGTTCTTTTCCATGGGGTGGTTTCTCTGTACATTCTCATTTACCTATGAAGCAAATGCTCACGTCTCTGCTAGTAATTTCCAGGCAGTAAAGCAGCGTGGCTACTTTCTACTGTTCAGCAAAAGCTTTCGGTGCAAGTTTTTCCAGCATTAAGCGTATCTAGTCCAAAAACACCCGCCAGTCTTGCAAACTTTAAAAAATGCTGTTGCTCAGTTCCCTGCTAGTCCTGCCTAGATCTCTCTGGACCCTTGTGCTTTGGGATTTGTTCTAATAAAAGGTAAGGGAGCAGGAGCCACAGCCTGAGCGCGCAGCGCCTCTGTTTCAGAGTCCCGGTAGGGCAGGGCGTCCCTGCGAAGGGCGCAGGAACCTTGCCGGTCCCTGCTGTTTCGTGCTGCCTAGAGATAAGTTGCTCCACCCCGGAGAGTTGGCCTGTGTGGTTCAGGAGAATTGAAACAAACCCAGCTAACGCCCAAGGATAGCTGCATGCCGTTAGGCACCAGCGTGGACTAGACCGGGTTCTGTCGGCCCCAAAGTGGCCACGTGGCCTGAGCAAGCAGCTGTGTGAGCCGGGCTGCGGGGCAGGCAGGCTGGGCACCCGCACGACACACTGCGCTCAGCCGACCTGGAAGTTTGTTGGCTGGCGCTCGCAGGGGCGGGGCTTGCCCGGGGCTGGGCACCCACGCGACACACTGCGCTCAGCCGACCTGGAAGTTTGTTGGCTGGCGCTCGCAGGGGCGGGGCTTGCCCGGGGCTGGGCACCCACGCGACACACTGCGCTCAGCCGACCTGGAAGTTTGTTGGCTGGCGCTCGCAGGGGCGGGGCTTGCCCGGGGCTGGGCACCCACGCGACACACTGCGCTCAGCCGACCTGGAAGTTTGTTGGCTGGCGCTCGCAGGGGCGGGGCTTGCCCGGGGCTGGGCACCCACGCGACACACTGCGCTCAGCCGACCTGGAAGTTTGTTGGCTGGCGCTCGCAGGGGCGGGGCTTGCCCGGGGCTGGGCACCCACGCGACACACTGCGCTCAGCCGACCTGGAAGTTTGTTGGCTGGCGCTCGCAGGGGCGGGGCTTGCCCGGGGCTGGGCACCCACGCGACACACTGCGCTCAGCCGACCTGGAAGTTTGTTGGCTGGCGCTCGCAGGGGCGGGGCTTGCCCGGGGCTGGGCACCCACGCGACACACTGCGCTCAGCCGACCTGGAAGTTTGTTGGCTGGCGCTCGCAGGGGCGGGGCTTGCCCGGGGCTGGGCACCCACGCGACACACTGCGCTCAGCCGACCTGGAAGTTTGTTGGCTGGCGCTCGCAGGGGCGGGGCTTGCCCGGGGCTGGGCACCCACGCGACACACTGCGCTCAGCCGACCTGGAAGTTTGTTGGCTGGCGCTCGCAGGGGCGGGGCTTGCCCGGGGCTGGGCACCCACGCGACACACTGCGCTCAGCCGACCTGGAAGTTTGTTGGCTGGCGCTCGCAGGGGCGGGGCTTGCCCGGGGCTGGGCACCCACGCGACACACTGCGCTCAGCCGACCTGGAAGTTTGTTGGCTGGCGCTCGCAGGGGCGGGGCTTGCCCGGGGCTGGGCACCCACGCGACACACTGCGCTCAGCCGACCTGGAAGTTTGTTGGCTGGCGCTCGCAGGGGCGGGGCTTGCCCGGGGCTGGGCACCCACGCGACACACTGCGCTCAGCCGACCTGGAAGTTTGTTGGCTGGCGCTCGCAGGGGCGGGGCTTGCCCGGGGCTGGGCACCCACGCGACACACTGCGCTCAGCCGACCTGGAAGTTTGTTGGCTGGCGCTCGCAGGGGCGGGGCTTGCCCGGGGCTGGGCACCCACGCGACACACTGCGCTCAGCCGACCTGGAAGTTTGTTGGCTGGCGCTCGCAGGGGCGGGGCTTGCCCGGGGCTGGGCACCCACGCGACACACTGCGCTCAGCCGACCTGGAAGTTTGTTGGCTGGCGCTCGCAGGGGCGGGGCTTGCCCGGGGCTGGGCACCCACGCGACACACTGCGCTCAGCCGACCTGGAAGTTTGTTGGCTGGCGCTCGCAGGGGCGGGGCTTGCCCGGGGCTGGGCACCCACGCGACACACTGCGCTCAGCCGACCTGGAAGTTTGTTGGCTGGCGCTCGCAGGGGCGGGGCTTGCCCGGGGCTGGGCACCCACGCGACACACTGCGCTCAGCCGACCTGGAAGTTTGTTGGCTGGCGCTCGCAGGGGCGGGGCTTGCCCGGGGCTGGGCACCCACGCGACACACTGCGCTCAGCCGACCTGGAAGTTTGTTGGCTGGCGCTCGCAGGGGCGGGGCTTGCCCGGGGCTGGGCACCCACGCGACACACTGCGCTCAGCCGACCTGGAAGTTTGTTGGCTGGCGCTCGCAGGGGCGGGGCTTGCCCGGGGCTGGGCACCCACGCGACACACTGCGCTCAGCCGACCTGGAAGTTTGTTGGCTGGCGCTCGCAGGGGCGGGGCTTGCCCGGGGCTGGGCACCCACGCGACACACTGCGCTCAGCCGACCTGGAAGTTTGTTGGCTGGCGCTCGCAGGGGCGGGGCTTGCCCGGGGCTGGGCACCCACGCGACACACTGCGCTCAGCCGACCTGGAAGTTTGTTGGCTGGCGCTCGCAGGGGCGGGGCTTGCCCGGGGCTGGGCACCCACGCGACACACTGCGCTCAGCCGACCTGGAAGTTTGTTGGCTGGCGCTCGCAGGGGCGGGGCTTGCCCGGGGCTGGGCACCCACGCGACACACTGCGCTCAGCCGACCTGGAAGTTTGTTGGCTGGCGCTCGCAGGGGCGGGGCTTGCCCGGGGCTGGGCACCCACGCGACACACTGCGCTCAGCCGACCTGGAAGTTTGTTGGCTGGCGCTCGCAGGGGCGGGGCTTGCCCGGGGCTGGGCACCCACGCGACACACTGCGCTCAGCCGACCTGGAAGTTTGTTGGCTGGCGCTCGCAGGGGCGGGGCTTGCCCGGGGCTGGGCACCCACGCGACACACTGCGCTCAGCCGACCTGGAAGTTTGTTGGCTGGCGCTCGCAGGGGCGGGGCTTGCCCGGGAGCTCTGCTAACCAGTTCTCTCTCCCTGTAGGTGAGGCGCGGGCGCCAGTCGGTGCTGGGGTCCCGACAGAGAAGGCACGTGTCGCTCAGCATGAATGCCGCCGCCAAGACCGCGCTGCCACCTGCTGCAGAGTGAATGACCACAGCTCCACGTGACTACCTTCCCCGCCAGCTGTTTTTTGATTAACCCCTTGGACTCCTCTTTCCCCACCTTGAATATCAATATGTGTCATGTCATTGTCACCTGTCGTTCAATGCTCTGGACCCTCCTGAGTATTGTGGTGGCCTTTGCAGAGCTCATCGCCTTCATGAGCGCAGACTGGCTCATTGGCAAAGCCAAGAGCCGCAGTGGCACAGAGCCAGCCGGCGGGGGAGCGGGCGCGGGCGCCGGCCCAGCGGAGCCCTACCACCCCACCCTGGGAATCTACGCCCGCTGCATCCGCAACCCCGGAGTACAGCATGTGCAGCGAGACACGCTGTGCGGGCCCTACGCGGAGAGCTTCGGGGAGATCGCCAGTGGCTTCTGGCAGGCCACTGCTATTTTCCTGGCCGTGGGCATCTTCATTCTGTGCACGGTGGCCTTGGTGTCTGTCTTCACCATGTGTGTGCAGAGCATCATGAAGAAGAGTATTTTCAACGTCTGTGGACTGTTGCAAGGAATCGCAGGTAGGTGCCGGATGCCTTGGAGAAGACAGTCTTCCCTCTATTAATAGGTTTCTTTTCCTAGGCTGTGTTCCAGGCAAGGTCCCTTTTCCCTGTTTCACTCTCGCCCAATAGAAAAGCAGGGCACTGTCCTGTGGGCTCTCTGGACCTCATCATTCCATTTCCTGGGGTTTACTTCATGCTTTTTGTTTCATTAACTGCACTTACTTTTGCTTTTCCCATTAAACTTGAAGCCTTCCACCTGAGCGCATCTCCGGGAGGTATTCCCGTGAGAGTGAGGCCCATCTGCAGCAGGCCTCTGTGCTGGGAAGGAATGTCAGTGCTGGCCTCTGCAGGGGATAACCACCACCCCACACCCTGCCCTAGCCCTGGCGACTTCGGGTGGCGAAGGCTGGGGCTGGGAAGGAATTATAGTAGTATCAGCTGCTCTGTGTTTAATGGTGTTCTGGTTTAAATTGTCTGTCTCCTGGAGCCTGACAGAATGTTCTGTGCACTCAGATCAGAAAGTGCGAGCGAACTCTTCCAGTTTCTGGGAACTTCTCACTAATGAGCTTGTTAGAAGTGGGTAGAAAGCCAGAGCTCTCTATGGTGACTCCGGGGAGGCTGGGCGCTGCAGGCTAGTCCACTGCCCCCGCAGTTCCATAGGGCCCCCGTGGGTTTGGAAGGGGATCCTGCACCGAGGGCTGTGCCATCTAACTAAGTTCAGGGGTCGACTCTGGGAGAAAGTCACACACACAGCTCGGTGTGAACACTCCTAAAGAAAGTAGAAGGAATAGATTTTTACTTTTTCGGGGGAAGAATAAAGTACTCTGTTTTTAACCAAGATATGTGTTAATCTCAATTCTGGAAGCAGCCCTGCATGAAGGGTACAGATGACTCACCCCTTGGCACTCTGCAGCGGTGGCAGGGACCCTTCCACAGTGAAGATCAGTAAGCACTGAGCCTTGTGTCTGGGGCTGTAAAGAAGCAGACCCCAAATGAGTTAACTCCCCTTTGCCTCCTAGCACACTCTGGAGCTCAGCAGGGCTGGCTTCCAAATAGACAGATCAAATGATGATTTTTTTTTTCCCAAACAGCTGATAAGATAACATTTTCTGTTCTTTGTATTTTGGGGGGGCTTCTATGGGTTGTGAGAGGAGTAGACCAAGAGGAATGGTAGAGGACCCGCTCCACGGTTCTCGTTTGCTTTTCTGAGGATAGACTCCATTCAGACATGAGGGTCCTTAATCTTCCTGGCCCAAAGTGACAAATCTCAAGATCCTCACCTCCTTCTGCCAGCCTCAGCCATACCCAGGGTGACCCAGGCACTCCTGGAATTTGGGAAGCCAGGATTCTATCTTCCAGGCCTAGCAGTTTCACTTCCAAGTCTGCATACCACTCTCTGCAGCTCAGCTTTCTCCTCTGAAAATTAGGGAAGCTGGAAAATATGACCTCACCTTGGATATTTTTATCTTAAGGGTTCTGTGAAGCTCATTGTCCCCTCTGATTCACTTCTGAAATCTGCAGTTTACCCCTTCGGCTGTACATTTCACCCGGAAGTGTTAATAAATAAGATAGGTTCCAGTACTGATTCATCTGTTTCTTGCCAGAGGAATGCCCCTCCTTTCTTGTCCTCAGATGCACAGTGCTACAGGCGTGTGTGTGTACACACGTGTGCATGGCTGCCGTGTTTGCAGAGATGTGCTACTGAAGGCTTTGAGAACTCAAACCTTGATGAAGGGCATCACACAGTATCCTCCTCCCATCACAGAGCCCTAGATGGCCAGGGAGGGGGACCGCTGCTTGATTTGCCCTCTCTGCAGATCACCTCCTTGGTGACTCCATGCCTTCTTGGAGGTTTTATCAATCCACAGTACATATTTACAGTGAGGGGCTGGGCATCTTGGGCCTGTCTTTTGTACTCATGCGGAAGGGAAGTGTAGGTATCTTTCAAGTCTTGAAGACTATTTAGATGCAGTTTCTTTTTAAATTCATTTCTTTCTTTCCTGAGAGAAAGGTAACCCCTACAGGGTCTTCACACCATGCTCCTCCTCACAGCTCAGCCAGCCTAGATCACAGACACAGATGCTTGGTGTGCTTTGGGAGGTCCTATAATATGAACCCAGAGTTTTTCCCTTGTGGGTCCACTTATGCTACCTCTGTGCCACCACCTGCTGGCCCCTATATGCAGATTTTCAAAATGTAGTCTTTTATTCTTTGAGTTTAATGTATTTCTTCCATGAGAAAGAAAAGGGACAGAGAGAGTGGCACTCCTACATGGTCTTCACGCTTCAGTCTACTACTCTGAGTGAGCCTGGATCATGCCTATGCATGCCTGGCATGTTCAGGGAGGTTTCGGGACATGAACGCAGGACCTTTCCCACATGGGTCCAGTTGCACTACCACTGCACCACTGCCTGGCCCCAGGTTTGTTTTTGTTTTTTTTTTCTGTCTTGTTTGTTTTTGAGAGATTTTTGCTATAGGATACAAAGACAGAGAAACAGAAAGTGAGAAATCACGCCTTAGGGGGAATGGCCATGCCACAGTCCCTTCTCCTTTCTTCTCTCAGGATTTTGGGCATGCATGCACATACACCAGCATCAATTTCAAGCTGCTGAGTCCAGGACTTGAACCACAGTTGATCATGTGGGAGTCAAGTACCTTAACCACTATGCCCCCTGCAGGCCCCAGCCCTAGTTTTTAATAAGGTATTTGTCCATTGAATCCATCTCCAAGAATGCAGGTAGTCCACAAACCTTCGGGTGCTCTTACTTGCTGCTGCACTTCAGTGGCGATAGTGTTCACTAATGCGCAAAGACCTGTGCACATCTTAGCTGGGGCTCATATCTTCTGGTGAGATTTCTCTGACTCTCTCTCTCCTCTCTCTGCATCTGGCCTCTGGGAAGAAGGATCGAGGAGAAGGAGGTAGTGGCACACCTGAGGGGCCAGTCTGCAGGTCATGTCTCTTCCCAGAGTCCCAGTTTTCTAAAAAGAAGCGTTATCTTTTTCCCACTCCTGTGGCTTATGCAGCACTTCCAAAATCCTGAAGTTACTCAGAACTTTAAATTGGCAGGAAGCAGAGGTTCCTGTATCATCAGACTGCTCCAGCAGCCATGGGTCTCTGGCTAAGCTCTGGAACACAGGAGACAAGTGGTTCCTCTTCCTCTTCCGGCCCTGCAGCACCCCGGGAGAAGGAAGCACAAGAAAGGGCACTAAGCCATCCTTTTCATGCTCAGGGGTGGGGGCACACCTGCAAGGGCTGTCCCTTGGGCTCCTTCTCCCAGGTGGAGGTCTGCACCAGGCAGTGAAGCCGATGGACCTGGCAGCTGTGGTCCTAAGGCTGGGGCTGAGGACTGCCCTAGACAGACAGTGTCTGCACAGCTGGCTTGTCTGTCTCCTGCTGGCAGGTCTCTAACAGCATCTGGTCAGCCCAGCCTCCGTGTGGGGCTTGCTGCAGCTGCGAGCATCAGTCTTTATCTCCTCTTGCTCCCTCTCAGCCCTGGATCAATTCAACACTGGAACAATGGTGGCTGAGGAGACTGTTGCCAGAGCAACAAAAGGATTCTTTAGAAATACTCTCTGTGCTTGTTTTCACAACTTGTGTTTTAGCCAAATGTGGATGGATGGTTGTCTGAATGGAGTCTGTTTCCATAAAAGCAAATGAGAACTGTGGAGTGGGTTCTCTGTCTTTCCTCTTGGCCCAGCTCTCCCCCACCACGCACAGGATATCATGTCACAGGAGCGTGTGCCTTTGCTACACCCAATTCGAAAGAATAAAAAGGCCGCAGGCTTTTAACAGCCCTCGTTATCTCTAAAAATATAAGTTATCAAAATAATTGATAATTTGATTTTGGAAGTTGGGTGTGAAAGAAACTGCTACTCAATGGAAATCTCACTCTTGGTTACGTACACAAAGAAAACAAAACAACGGTATAACCAAGCTCATATCTTATGGTTGTCTTGAGGATTAAGTTAGGTGATATGTGAGAAGGACTTAGGTTCGGTCCTAGACACATCGTAAATAATAAAAGATAGCTCTGTGAGAATTATTAAAATATTTCTGCTTTCTTGGCAAATGTGGTATATTTTGTTGTATTTCCTCAAATGGCTCATGTTCTAAGGAACAGGGATTTCTGTGAACCATTAACGGTTGAATATGAGTACATTATACAGGGCCAGTCCCGGGCCCCTCAGTAACCTGTATGTGTCAGGGCTACAGCTGCAGAGCAGTCCTGTGGCTTTGGTGTGAGTGGGGGTGTTTTTTAAGAAAGTAGATTTCTGGGAACCAGCAGTTAGCGTAATGTCTATGTCACTGGACTCCCACGTAATCGACCGTGGTTCGCGTCCCGGACCTAGTGGCTTAAAACTCACACCGGGCGCGTGTGCGTGCGTGCCCAAGATCCCGAGAGGAGAATGGAGGAGAAGGGATTGCGGCGTGACCATCCCTCCTGGGGGGTGATTTCTCGCTTTCTGTCTCTATGTCTCTGTCTGTCTGGCGAGCGCACGCGCCCTATAGCAAAAATCTCTCCCCCACAAAAAAAAAAAAAAAAAAAAGAGAAATAAAGAAAGTAGAAGATTTCCTTGATAATCGAGAGGAAAACAAAGACCTCCTTCCACCCACTCCCTTCCTTCCACGCACATCTCCTCCATTCCTTTCCTTTCTGGAGGCAGCTTCTAGCAGTTGAGTCTTGACTGCACATGCTTCTCAGACTCCCCTGACAGAATCAATCATGGGCTGGCCAGGCTTCGCTAGGTGAGCACTTGGTCAGGCCTTGGCAGAGCCAGACAGCACTGGGCCATATCCCCCTGGAATGCATTACAAAGGCTGGGTGACCGGCCAGCAGGGTCAGTTTTTTGCCAGCTGTCTTCCTTGGGTTGTGACCTGGATATAGTCCATAGTGAAACCATAGAATACAAAGATCCAGGTTTTCCATGACAGCACCTAGCAGTTTGTTTTTGGAAATGCATGTGGTGCTCTCTCAGAAGTCCGTGGAATCCCCTGTGACTCAGGTTTGGGACAGCAGCCATTGGAATGAGCTCAGTACTTGGCTCACTCACGCTGGCTGGGGCTGCTCCCTGAGGTTGCCGAGGGAGGACGAGCACACCGGCTGCTGCGCCTGACTGCCAGCTGTCCATCTTCCTCTGCTTCTTTGCTTTGTTGGGTCTTGCTGGCTGTGACCCTCTCTCTCCACTCCCTCTAGCTCTGTCTGCCTTGATGCCAGTCTAGCAAGCTGTCCCCGAGTCTGAGCAGGCAGAGGGCTGTGAGGCCAGGGTGCAAGGAATGCTCACGGAATTGCTCTTCGCTGTGATGGCTAAGGGTCTGATGTGTGCAGGCACTGCTTTCTTGAAAGTGGAGGAAGGTGAAGGAAGACAGTGTTAAAAGAAAAAAAAAGAAAAGAAAACAATGGAGAGGAATCTGTGAAAATAAGCAGAGGGTTTTGCTTTGCTGCTTATAAGACTGCTTTTGTCATAGAGCTGGTTAAGTGTGCAGGTGAGAGTGGCCATATGAAATTCATGGTCATCAGGCCTTGGTATTCATGCTGCCTTTTCTTCATAGGCTGAAAACAGCCTTAAGCATCCAGGCAATGATCACAACTCAGCCAACACAGTCTTGGCCTCCATTTTGACTGCCCTCCTGCCCTGCCCATTCTCTCTCAGATGAAAAAGACCAGATCAACCACTGGAGAGGAGGGAAATAAGAAGGGAGGCTGAGAAAGCATGGGGAGAGGGGAAGAGATTCCTGCTTCTCACAGAGCCCTGCCCATAACTAATGCCTGAGAAATTTACCTGGAAAGTAGTCCACCTTCACAATACCCTCAAAGGATGAGCATAAGGAAAGTAAAGGGTGGATCCTCCACTTTTCCTTCTTAGAATGAGGCCGTGGAGGCTTCTGGCTGCCAAAAGGAGGGTCTTGATTTCCAGTTCTTCAGACAGACAGGGCCTCCTTTGGAAGTAAGGTCCAACAGTTCCATGTCTGAATTCATTTATGACATCACTGACAGGACACAGCCACTAAGTGACCAGCCTTTAATAATCCTTTAGTAGAAAGTAAAGAATCAGGGACCAGCAGTTAGCGTAATGGCTATGTCGTTGGACTCCCACATAGCTGATCGCGGTTCATGTCCCGGACCCGGTGGTTTAAAACTCACACCAGGCGCGTGTGTGTGCATGCCCAAGATCCCGAGAGGAGAATGGAGGAGAAGGGATTGTGACGTGGCCATCCCCCCTGAGGGGTGATTTCTCGCTTTCTGTCTCTCTGTCCCTCTCTGCCTGTCTGGTGAGCACACGCGCAGCGCCCTATAGCGAAAACCTCTCAAAAAAAAAAAAAAAAGTAAAGAATCAGATTATGTTATGTAAGATAAAGAGGCCAAAATTAAATTTCAATTCAAGGAGGTTTTATTGGATGTCTACCAGTTGCAAAGATTATAGACCCGGGTCTATAATTCGAGTTTCTGCTCTGAAGCTATATTAGAAAGTCATCATGTCATGAACTGTATGCTAGAGAACCCAAAAATTTACCCATCATATATAAAAAAGAACAAATAACTCAGTCATATAAAAAAACTACTGCTTAAAAGCAAGTAGACCAAGACATCATTAATTTGAGTAAATCTAAAGACTAGTATCTATTTTTAAAAAATTATTTGGAAGGTCTAGAAGAAAATTAAAAACTCTCTTAGAATTCAGATATAGGAGTTGATATGCAAATAAAACAGGAAAGTGGTTTGCCATGGTAACCACTAAATTGCAGGCATAAATTACCATGGAGCCATAGATGATCCACGTTCAAATTCCATGAACGAAAAAAATCACATAAGCATGGCTCCAAACATTTGCATGAGCCCTTCAAGCAGTCTCTTCTAAGAGCTGAATGAAAGATGGTGGTGTTCTTCTAAACTATAAAGCCACTTCTGCTGCAGTACCAGCAAATGACATAATGATTTCATTACATGCTGAACTCCCACGTGGTCGACTGTGGTTCAATTCCCAGACCCAGTAACTTGAAACTCAGGCCAGGCACAGGTGCATGCTTGCCCAAAATCCTGAGAGGAGAATGGAGGAGAAAGGATTGTGTCGTGGCCATCCCCCCTGGGGGATGATTTCTTGCTTTCTGTCTCTCTCTCTCTTTTGTTAGCATACACACCCTATAGCAAAAATCTCTTAAGTAAATAGCTTGCATTTCCTGTACAGAACTGTGCTACAGCACAATTAGTCATGTGTATGAGCTGATTTATCATAATTGATCTTTCCAGTAGCTTTATTAAATGATTGGCAATCATTTTTTTGAAAGACAGTACAGACCAATATAAAAATACACATCTCCCGAAAATGTAGCAAATATTAAAATACTTGAAGAATCAGTACAAATATCTGTTCAGAATTCTGTAAGTAATTTAATATGAAAATACAGAGTGGCTTTGTGGTCAGAGTGATAAGAGGCCAACAAACCTAAGGGACTTACTGTCCAGAAGTTGCTACCTGGTTCTTTGTGAAAATTATTTAACATGATCTCTACCCAGATTTTACCTCAAGAGGCAATATATTTACTTGTTCACGAAATTTTATAGCTCAGTGAGTAAGTCACTTTTTTAAAAGTATTTTTTGCTGGTACATATGGCATTTTATGTATCTTGGCAGTTTATTTTAAATTATCATTGTATTTTGTTATAGCCCAGTAAGAGTTTATAATCCTGCATGTCAGGTGAATCACTTATTGAGAAAATATGTCATAAACTTCTCCCAGTTGCAGATAAGCAGTTTAATAAACAGCTTCTCACCTGATTACAAAGGACAGCTTTATCCCTAACTGATGGGGAAGAGTAAAATGGCTAAATTAATTTGCTAGGATACATTCGGTTCACCCATTCCAGTTAAGGTTTGAAAAACTGCCAGCGATTGCACCATGTCCATTCCCCAAAGGGGCTATTTCTCATTTCTGTGTCTCTGTCTCTCCTGGGAGCCCACACACCTTATAGCAAAAATGTCTCAATAAAAAACTACACCAAAACAAAAAAACTGCTAGCTAAGTCATTTGCATACAAATTGGAGTCTGTGCTGAGATGGGGGCCTCTACAGTGGAGAAGCAGCTTCTCATAGATTTTTTCCCTAC